GTAAAATTTCAAGCTCCTCAGGTATCAATTCAGATCAAATTGTTTGTACAACTGCACAGACATTGTTTTAATTTTGATGGAGTTAAATGATCTGAGAAACAAAACGGTTACTTTAAAAAAATGTTGCAGTAAATTTTACACCTTTTTTTATCAACTGTCAGCTACAGGCTATCGATTTCTTGAATTAAAAAGCGTACAGTCCAATACTTGTTCCTGAGAACCTAGGCACCTATGCCAACGATAAATAATCAAGCAGTTTAAACATTTCGAGAAAAGGTTTCTTGAAATATCATTCCATAACTAAACATGGTATGAACTCAATTTCTATACATTTTGACTTAGCATACTTTAGCGCTGGGTGCAAATATATATACAAAAATAAGAGTAATTTATTTTCAATAAACTTCCGTTTAAAATTTAATTCAAATATTTGAATACATTTATTTCCATCTCTCAATATCCTCTCTAAGATTGTCACCGTAAGCACCGTAAGCACCCTCGTGACACCCATATGTTTTGAAATCGCTTATAAATAGAACCCATATTTAGGCAAAGTCCGCCACAACCCTTCCCTAGGTGTTTACAATAGAAAAACATATATTTCAACAATATCCCACAATCTTTTGTTTTTAAGCGTACTGATAACTATCCTGACTTCATCACAATCTGTGAGTCTAAAATGAAAATTGAACAGCCCATTCCATCGGCATTTTGAGATAGGTACAAGTACCCAAGAAATACTGAATAACGTTATTTAAAGAGATTTCCGTTTTTTTTTTGGTTTACTGTTTCTCCTTCGCCAATTGCAAAAACAATTTGTCACTACCGGTGATTTCCATTGCATTGGTCGAAGGTACTATACTCTACCGATCCATTTCCTTGTCCGTCCTTCTTTCACACGCACACACACATAGACACACTTATTTTGTTTTTGATAATTCTCTATTGTTAATCTATAAGAGTTTGTTTAAAATTCTTTAATTTGCTAGGACAAAACATATTTTCATAAAGTCTAACAAGTTCTTTCTTTTTAAAAACTTTTTTCTTCGCGTTTTATTTCGAATACAAGACATCATTAGCGTTAAACTGGCACATGGCTTCTTAAGTCCAAGATCCAATATTTTCTAATTTTTTTTTCGGTTCAACTTAGCTCAGTAATTGTTTCGGAGTTTTCCGACGTTTCGAGATTCCATTTTACGAATTTCGCTTTTCAAATTGTCAATTTGCAGTTAACCAAACTATAAATCAACGACATATTTAGCACCCGCAAAAGCCAGATCCCTATAGAAATATATAAAAATTTGTAATAATAATTTATCTTTTCATTCACACGGTTAATCCGGACCTTTCGAAATTTTCTTTGCAAAATTTTAACGAAGGCGAAAATAATTACTTGTATTTCTTTTATTTATTTGAGGGTTTTTAGTCTTTGTCGCCGCTGTGTCGCTGGTATCCGTATCCATACACACCTTAAATACCTGTGGTGGGAGGGGTCAAGGTAAACGGGGTGGGGAGCTTTAATGGTTTTAACGGAAGATTGAACCTCAAAGGGGTGAGAGATAAAAGCCTGTGTCGCAGCTTATATTGCTTAGGTGTGCAACAATTTCAATCGATTCCCGATAACGGCATGTCTGGCACAATGTCAGAAACAAAAAATCCAGCAGTGTAACCTGTGTTTAACCAAAAAATACAATTTTCAAAGTCAGTTATTATAAACATTTTATACGATTAAACTCTACTCACTCGATTCATAGACAAAGCAAAATTATATAAAAATTGATTTCGTATATTAATTGTCATTGTTTTAATTCATATTTGAATAAATAATGCAAACCTGAAAACACGAACAAATTGTAAAAGATGAAAAAGAATTACTGATATTTATTTCGCGAATGAATTGCCTGCAGAAAAGTAGTAATACAAACTTTTGACTCGACTGCCGGTCGCTTTCTTTTTTGATTCTAAGTAGCTTCTGGAGTCGGCTAAACTTACAACAACTTCGGAATTTTTAAGAGGATTTAAATAACAGATTTAATTTTTTCTGTTTTAATTTAAATTACGTGCCACTTTAAGCTAGGCGGACCGTGGGATTTGTTTGTCGACTTTATAAGAGTTACTAATTCCATTAGCTTTTGGTATAAAAAAATTCCATCGGAAATATCTCTATGAAATAAATCATATTTAATGGTAAACTTTTCGTCGATTACTTTTACACAGTGAAGTAACTATCTCAGTTAGTAACTATTATAGATGGATTGTTTTTGTGAAACACTTCTGTTTTATTGCTGTGAATTCCTTATTCGCAAAGTTGTCGACGATAGGCTAGATTTAATCAATATTTTATATTTATTTTTAGATATGGCGGATTCAACTGGTTTCGCATAATTGGGGTTAAATATTAACTCGCGGAAGCGCCTAGTGTTATTTTCATGTTGTGCAAAGATTCTCTAAAATGCAGATTGCCAGATTCCGATACAATTGATAGAGAAGCTGCGAAAAATCATTTAGCCAAGATTTATTTTGGAGTTGGTCATTTGCCTGTCACTGCAAACTTATTGTTCAATTGTATTGTCAAGCTTTGGTGAATTTTTCAGATTGCGTGGTATCGCACAACCTCCACTGCCAATGTGCCAGCAATTTGTCCAAAGGTAAAATAAAAAAGACATTATATACTTCCTCGTTTTGAACTGAAATAACGATGCAGGTGATATAAAAGATGGAAGGTCTTTATAAATTTGTTGGGGTGCATATATTTGAGACGATGTTGATCATCGTCCACGTTATTCTTGCCATGTTTCAATGTGGGATTATAAAAATATTTGAGTGTCAAAACAAATTTATTTTACAAGCCTAGAGATTTGCATATAATATGAACTGCCTGTCTTATATTTTGATCTCTCAAATGATCAATAAACTCAAACTGAAAACTTTTTTTCCCGCACATCCCACAATAAATTAATTGACATTCTACTTCTTGCAACAGATCTCCTAAATTTCTTTATTTATTTTTCTAGGAGAAAATCAATTTTTCATTTATGTTATTACCATCTAAACATCATTCGAATGGTCGTTTCGAATCTTCGCATAAGTTTATTTAATAGGCAAAAGCTTGTTTATATAATCTCGAGCAATTGTTAAAATTACATTTTTCATATAAAGCAAGTTAGTCGAATCTAAATATCGATGGTGAACGTGCCCGTCTCCTGAGGAAATAATACACATGCTTCGGAAAATTGATGTTTGAATAAAACAAAATGGACACATTAAGTATGCAGGTCTATTATCAGAACGGAAATACCTTTATCTGAGAAAATCATCTAAGAGATGACAATTACGAAGAAATCAAACACGCAATTTGAAAAATAAACAATAAATTCCACAGAGCTATAATTGGAAATTATGTCAACAATTGCTAACGAAGAGGTTCCTACACCGGCCTCAGATTTTATAATCGTGGCACCGGTTTAGCAAAAGGCGTCGATGATACACCATTTGGTATACTCTAGTAGATGGATGATGTAACTGTCAACCAATCATGTATTGATGTGGAGTACAGCACAATATTGTGGACATTGGAAAACTTTGTCAGGGAAGCGTATCTCTCTTCAAACGTAGCTATCCTAAGGCCAGCTCAGCGAGGACAGAAACCCTGCGTAGAGCAAAAGCTGGCTTGATCCCGATATTCAGTACGCATAGGGACTACGAAAGCACGGCCTATCGATCCTTTTGCCTTGAAGAGTTTTCAGCAAGAGGTGTTTCGTGGTTACAGGTGCAAAGGTATCACTACTACAAAAAAAATGCAAATATGTGGCAGAGAAACAACAGCACAGTGCAGATATTAAATTAACAAGTTGAGTATAGCCCGAGTTTGCAGCAGAATGGTTTTCTTTGTGGGTACACTAACATATCTCGATAACGGAACCAGGTGGTAGTGCTGTGGTTTGGGTCCAACCATGTATCTAATATAACAGGCTAATGAGCATCGGAAATTACTCTCCAAAAAGTTAATTTAATTAAAATTCTCATTAGTGCTTAGATTTGAAGGTTTTCTATATCCTCCTTTGCGCCGTTAGATAAGAGCTTAAAAGCCTGTTCATCTTTTAACCTTTCCGAATATTCGTTTCGAATACCAATCTTGTACTAAAAGCCGGAAAAGTTAAGTAAGAAAAATTATAATCAGTTTTAAAATGACCACAATTTCATATATTTCAAGATACTCATGAGGAAAAATCAAAGAAAGCTCGATTCCCAAAAAAATTTTGGTAAAAAGTACTTTTTTTTTTTAAATCTCAACATAACAGGTTGGGAAGTAAATTATTATTTCGGTTGGAAATCCCTAGCCAGGATTTTTGAAGGATGTGAAAATTGCTAAATGGGTTTCACGAAGTTACTTCGGAAATGTGTATTGCAAAGACTTTAATAATAGTAATAGTATTCACGAACAGATCAGTGTTTTGAAAAACTGTCCTGCAAAATTTTCTTTTTGTCATTCTGAAAATAATTTCGCTAGGTACATGATCTTCAGTCTCTGAATACCGCTCAACCGTTCCTACGAAATTATTCCATACATGATAAAGCCTTGTCCATGATAATTACCGACAATTTAAAATGGTAATTTACTAGAAATTTCAAAATCAGCACACAAAAACTGGGCGAATCCCTCGCTAACTCGAAATTCGAACACCACGTGATGAATTTCCTGTTTTATGTTGACAAAGTGATTCAAAATATTCGACTCAAAAGAAATTCGTCGCATTTCACGCGTTTCATGCTGTCTAAGGATAAATATTCTATTTCTGTAAACCTTCTTTTAGTGCCGGCCCGGTTATTTTTAACCCAAAACAACTTATCTACGACATGCTCGCCACATATTTGAGCTTTACGGACATTTCAAAATAACGTGCGCGTAGGTCGACGATAATTGCCGAAATCGCGGTGCCTCAAATCTGGTAATAATGCTGTTCAGTTTCGAACGCGAACCAAACGACGTTGAAAGATTTTCCAGCCAATGAAATTGATTATTATCGATTTAAAATAAATTAGTGCCCGTTGAAAACCGCGTGAAAAGTTGTTACAGCATATCAGAGTGTTTAGTTCCGTCGGTGCACGCATAATTAAAATCCATACCGTTTATTTTCGTTAAGGTTTCGATAATAAACAGTGAGATTTATCGAGTTTTTAAGTGCGCCGAATTGAAGTGACGATGTAGTTTCGAACATTGCGAAATAGTGTGTTGAAAATTCACTTAAAGTAATTAAATTATATTAATAAAATTCCTCTGAAAATTCTGACCTTCAACAAATTGATTTTGAATATGTAATTGTGGGTTTTTCAATAACAACAATGAATAGACTGTATTGTTTTTATCAATTAATTAATTTAATGTTATTGTTGGCCAGAAAAGCAGTAATTTCTATATAGAATTCACAGTTCTCTTTGAACCCTACCTTGTCGCCACATTTAAGTTCGTTGACACACAATGCTTGACAGTGCTCCTAATTTACGGGCTGTCCAAAACTAGATTGAAAATTTCTATTCTTATCCCAGTTTTTTCAACCTTCTCTTCATTTCCATTATCTTACTGAAAACCTAAAATCTATTTTCATTTTTGGACATCCATACTAGTGCTCAAATTTCTCAAACAGCTAGCAGCTATGAGGCCCATTTGTTGAATGCACAGTCTGGTCCTTAAGAATAGGGCGGAGAGATTTTTAATGAATTCGTGGTAAATTTTTACTTGCAAAACTTCTACCGTTGCATTAGAATTATGTTAAATCGGTTGCTTAATGTATCCCCATAAAAATGATGAAGATTATTCAGGTCCGGTGACAATATTCCACAAAATAGGAAATAGGAACGTAAAATTGTTGACATTGGTATTTTTTCTCTGAAACCCATGACAGAATTGCATTTTTTGTTCAAAGTCATTTTCTGTAATAGTTTCACTACTGGTCAGTGTTCTTCGATGACGTTTGACAATTTTAACTAACAAAATTAACTAACTAAAAATTTTCTTCCACAGGCTACTGTAATACTGTTTATAAACCTTTTAGATTCCTCCCATGTCAGTCGAACTTGCTGACGCTTCGCCAATCATCCTGTTGGCTTCATTAGAGCTTAACTAAAAACTAATATTTACGTCTTCCTTATTAACGTTATGTGGTTATGTTTTATATCGACACCTCTGGGTGTGACAAATGAATTAATTACGTTCCAATAAATTAAAAGAAAAACGCCGAAAAGTGAATTCTTTTAGGATAGAGTTTTTCATTCCTCAATAAGCCGTTAAGTCCTATTCAGTTTATAGTAATCAATTCGATACAGATTCACATTCCATATCTACGTGGTAATTAAGTTCTAAGTCACAAAAGGAAATTATAGCCAAAATAAAGTGTATCCTCTAATGAGCTTACTAATATGTGGAGTGCAGAAATCACTCTGCTTTTACATACGTGAAATTAGAGAATAATAAACGGATAATTTTATCGATTTTTAAAGTGCGTGAAAATTGATGTGTTGGCGTTAAATGCCGAGGAAAATAAACACCGCGTCGGTGGATGATTAATCGTTTTACGTTACTCGGTTTACGTATAAATATTCGGATATTACGATCGCTTGAAAACGGCGCAAACACTGGAAACTAAAGACGGTCTGAAAAGATGGAAATGCGTATGGTTGCTGTAATTTTGTAACGCGATTTTCCCATATCCCAAATTCGACTCTCGCTATTAGCATTTCGGAAAATGGTAAGAGATACAAGGTAGCTCCAATTATGAATTAGCTTACCCTGAATTTTTCTGTTTTAGAATTATTTCTTTCTAATTTAAAATAAATCGAATCGGAACCTTTTGCGCTTCGTTTTTTCTTTATACGATCATTAAAAATATTTTTATTGTTGAGGGATTTTTTGTAGTCTTGTATACGGGTTACAAGTTTCGGTTTCATTTTCAAATATTCCATATAGTAATCCAAATCTTTATACGACACTCGTGATCTTTACTAATATAGGAATGATCTCAGAATATCTTTCAAAGGGATATATTATAGCCAATCATTCTGATTTTAAAAGTAATTAATACTGCAAATATTTGGCTTAGATTAGTTACAGTTGACTTTTTTTATTTGTAGGCTAATGTTTTTAAACACTAATTTATATAATACTATTTAAAAAACCTCGGGATGCCTACTGTGTCGGTTGTTGTTCAATTGAACTTATCCACGTTTCGCCAATCATCCTGTCGGCTTCTTCACAGCTGGGCAGTTTTAGTTAATCTCTCAAGGAGGCAACAGAGTCCAATTCAACAATAACCAACGCAAAAAGAATCCAGAAGTTTTGTAATAGTATTACAGTAGCCTGTGGAACTTTGAAAAATTGATTTATATTCTGTTTGACCGAAAATTACTTAGTTGTTATGACTTTTAACTAGATCTGGCAGCACTGCGGACAATTACAGAGGCATCCAAAATTTTATGAGAATGCCTAAGCTATTTCTGTTCTATAGAATTGTTCTTTAGCTATTTCTAGTAAAACATCGAGTTTGGCATATCCTTCATACGGAGTGTTTCAAAACAAATGCGAAAAATTTAATTAATTAATTAAATTAATTGAAATAAAGGCTAGTTTGGTATATAGATATCTCGCTAGAACTACGTATGTTTTTATTTTTAATCTTAGATACAAAAATAGGTAGAACAGAGTTGTAAATTTCTGAAAAAATTTTATTTTAGGTTTTATTTGGAAAAATAACATTTATCGGTTACAAATAAAAAATTCCACCGCAATGCACTTCGAGATTAAAATAATATATTAAATAAACCAATCTTGTGGGCTGCAGTCGCTTCTTAAGTCGTTTCTTATTATTGCTTGATTTGACATTGCTGTTAGTTTGAATTCAAAATTCGACTAACTTTCTCAAAAATGTATTCCCAAAATCTATTCATTTAATTGTTTTATAATAAAAGTTTTAATTCGATAATGGTGAATAACACTTATGCTGATATTTAAATTTAGTTAAGAAAGGCAGGGGCAGTCTAACTCAACCTCCTCCACTCATTTAAAGAATATAAAAAAATATGCGGAAAGTGTGTTTTTATGATAGTAATATTTCCGTAATATTTTATTGTTCTATTTTCGTTTTGGCAATAAAAATTAAAAACATTAATTTTCCTCTATATTTGCAGCGGGATATCTACCCAATGGGTTTTTGACCGATCGTTTATTTAACCACCCGTTATTTCAAACAGGGAATCACCCTGTTAAGTTTTTTGCATTTGTTTTGAGGCACTATGTACAGCAATAACGATAACAATCGACCTTAAACTGTCAACTCGTTACGTTCCAATTTTTTGAATTTGTTACTTTGCAAAATAATTAGGGGACAAATCTAGGACCATGGATATTTTAAACTTGTATTTATTTCAAGAGTGAAATGTTTTAGTTATTTTTAGTTGGGATCTATTTATCTAACCGAACAGATGACTAGAAATCACACTGTTCATTTAACACATTTATTTGACGCCTGATCATCTAAGGAATAATTTGTTTCGCGCACTATAATTTATTGGTGAATATTGTTGGACCTCAAATTATTCTGGGTGCTATTCAAAGGTATGTACCAAATTTAAGGGCGTATTCATGAATTATTACGTAGCGAAATTCATATAAACGCATACTGTTTCTTAAAATATCTGGTATTCAAGATACCCAAACTTGAAAATTTCATTTTTAAATCGTTTTCTATTATTATTTCAAGTATTTTTACCAATATTGTTCCAAATTTACCAGATGAAATTTAACAATAATTTCAATGGCATCCCGCAGGGCTTCATAACAAATTTTATTGCGTATAAAACGTACTCCGCTATTTTTTTTTCAATGTTGATATTCTCTTCAATTAATATGGCATTTCTTCGTTCGATACCACTGATACCTGTGGTTTGTGTTATTTTTCGCCCCTTATTAATTTATTTGTTCCTAAAATAGTTTTTGAAATTCAAGATGGTAAAGTTTTACTTCGCAAGATATGTATTAAAAAACGATTTTTCTATTCTAATAGTAATACTTGCTAAGCATATTACACTGGACATAATAGTTCTAATATACTTCGAGCTAAGAAATCTTGAATCTCTGAAAAACAGACATTATGCGACACATTTTTATATGAACAATTTACTTTAATTTTATCCAGGAATAGGCCTTTAAATTTGGTATATATCTTCAAGTAGTACGATGAGATAAAGCAATAGTATGTTTGTAATATTTTCTTAACATATTACAAATGATTATTTTTATAAATACTAATAACAACCAATATAAACGTAATTGCAATTATGTGCAGATAAAAAAATGTTCTGTGTCATGTTATTAGTTATATTCCTATAAACATTATTTGAATAACCCCGTAACTGCTTTAGGATGTTAGCATTTAACGTTTTTAAAAGTTTTAAATTTCAGTAATTGTTTCATAACGTATTAGTATCCACTAAACGTTCGTCTGATAAATTCAAATTGGAAAGTTGGTTATTTTTTGTTTTATTTTTCCAGAAATAAGCAGTTCGTTTATGGCTAATTGCCAAAAATCAGATGTATTAAGCGATGCAAGTTTATAAATTAGTACCGATTTAGATCACTTACCTATTTCGCTGACGTCTTTGAAACAAACTTGAATGGAAGAAAAATGCGTTTTAATATTTCGAAATCTGTTAGATGCCGAAGAGTCGAAGTATTATTTATGATTAGCCATTTACACATTCATTACACAAGATTTAAATCAGTTTATTATTTCTCAGCAATGTGCCGATTATACATTCACTACAAGTCACTTTATTTAAAAATATTCTGCCACAGAATTTTGCAATCCTGAAGCAAAATCGCTCAATGGTGTCTTCAGTTCCTAATTCTACGCATACCTTTTGCAATTAAAGTGTTGAATTATTCTTCTCAAACTCGTCTTTTCTAAATAATGTTAACATAATATTTAAACGTTGAAACTACATCTACATATTTCATTTCTTACTAGCCTAAATAGATCGCTATCAGAATTTTCTGGATCTTTGCTTCTAAACTTGCAGAAAATACAGTGCCGAAGCTGAATTCTAAATTTAAAGGTGTTAAAAAGATAGGTGCTCGTGAAATTGGTGAGCAAATATAATAATTCCTTGCTTGCAGGATAATTCCTTGCTCTACCTATGTAGAAAGTTCCTAGGCCTGCACGATAAAGTTTATGTATATTAAATAAGGTGATCTTTTCAATTTTCCTGCAGTTAAACACTTCGTATAAGGCAAAATACAAACCGAATCGAGTGGTCTGCAAAAAACTGTTCCAAAGTGAAGAATGCAAATGGCAATATGCCTTCAACGACGCAGTACGTAAGCATCATAGTAACCATGTACTCATTTTCTATCGTGTCGCATAGTTTCCGATCAGACTATAATCCGAACGTAATCGAGTATACTCGGGAAATCACATTGAAGAAGCAAGAAGGAAAACTACAGGGACGAGTGATAAGACTAAATAACGCGGAATTGCGGTCGGTTGAGGTGTACTTGGGGGTGCCGTATGCGGCCCCTCCGGTGGGACAGTTTCGGTTTATGCCACCCAGCGATGTTTCGTGGGTTGGTATTAAATATGCGGACGCGTTCGGACCGGTATGTCCACAGAACTTTCCCAGCGAAGAGACAATGACGACGGAAAGAAAGAGACATTTTAGAAAACTGAAGAGGTTTTTGGAGAACCAAAGCGAAGATTGTTTGTATTTGAATATATACGCTCCCTACCAGGGTAAGTTAAGTTATAGTAATTTGTTTGTATTTTTGCCTTGTGAAATCTAGTGTACAGTGCTTTGACCAAATAAAAGATTCCGAAGCCCGATTAAGAACATATGTGACTAGGCAAAGCAATTTCCATTATGTTATTTAGGTCGAAATTTTATAATACCGTACAGTATTGGATCCATTTATTACAAAATGAGAATGCAAGACATTTTGTTGCTTTCTTACTGAGGCTATTCGCAACATGACCACGAATGTTTATTTAATTACACAACTCTAATTTATTTGTATTTTTTGAATGCTAACTTCATCTGCAACTCCGACTTATACATTTAAGAACTGTACACCCTTGTGAAATCTTTGTTTATGGATGGATTTTGATTTTTTTTTGTTGTTGGATAGATCTCTGAAAAATGCATTAAAACCTTGTTATGCTTATTGCTTTAACCTCAAGTTATAGCCAACTGGGACTATTTAACAAAAGATAAACACTAATTAAATTAAAAATAAACGTATCCAACAAAAAAATATCAAAATCGAATAATAAATGCAGATTCTACAAGAGTGTACCTTTCTTAATTGTATGTACGTATAAGTCCACCAAGTAGGGTTCTGCCGCATCTTCACCGAATTTAATTTCCGCTTATGAACCCCTATTTAGCTGACGTTACCCGGCATTAACGCAGTAGACTAATGCTACTCCAGGCAGTGTCAAAAATGAAAATGAAACTTCGAAAAATGTATGCTTTGTTTGATTGTAAGAACGTTTTACTTTCGTTCTATACAAAGAAGGTTGTATTGTTGTATATTAGTAGCGATAGGTCTATAACACGAAGGATGCAAGAATCTAAGTGCCCCCAGAATATTTATTATTTTATAAAAATTCTAACAAAAAGAACGCGAAAATCAGAACTTTGAAGTAATTTTGTTCCAAGCTTTGAACGGTAGTCTTTGTTGTCCGTATTTCTGAAGTCTCGCTTGCTTTTCAAAGAGAAACTTTGGCGAGAATTTTCTGCGAAAACTAAGTTTATCTTAGATCAATTCATCAAACCCGTAAACTAGGAAACTAGGAATGGTTTTAAGTATTGATTGTTCCTGTTGAATATTTACGAGTTGTAACATTCAGATTAGAATAGAAAACGTTTTTCAATCTAGCCACTAAACAAATATACAAATAACGAAAAATGATTGCTCAAGGGGCCGAGGTGTATTTTAATAGAGTACGAAATTCATCAAAAAACTTTTTATAAGATGTTTTACTTATCAAAAATGTAGTCCAAAGGATTAAAGATGTCTTACCAAACAGTGATCGAAATAATGACAATTGCAAAAAGCGATCACAGCTATGACATTTATCACATGTTGATTTTAATTATTTCGCCTTCGTTTCAAACCTGCATTATTTCAATTTTCTTTGTCCCGTGATATAAAAACAGATTTTTAATGCCTTTAAGAGAGTTTGTTATGTACATATTATCTTCCATAAGGTTATTAAAATTATTCAGATGCGATAGGCATAGGCAGATTGAAGCACGTTCAAAGAAACATGTTTATGTTTTCCTACCCGTTGTGTCCATCGTACTGCTAATTTAAACAATTCTTCTAATGTGATTTTTTTAATCGTAGAATAAGGGCTTTGTAATGGGTGTTTTTTTTATGTATAGAACTTTATGTTGGCATTACTGTTCAAGATGGCGACCGATTTAGCAGCTGTCAATTCTCAGTTTGGTTTGGCAATTCATCATGAATAGACTCACTCCTGAACAACGCTTGCAAATAGTGCAATTTTATTTCGAAAATAATGGTTCTGGGCGGAATACGTATCGCGCACTACGTCCATTTTGTCGTCAACAAAATCATCCATCAGAGCAGTTAGTTCGATTAACCATAGAACGTTTTCGCACCACGTTTACTCTTATTGATAACTCGCATCCCCAGAGACGCCGTACGGTGCGTTCAGAAGAAGCTATTGATGCTGTAGAGTGTAGCATTGAAGAAGAACCGAATGAGTCCATCCGCCATCGAGCACAGGAATTGGATCTGTATCCATTCACTTTATGGAAGATTTTGCGGAAGGATCTTGGTTTACGTGCTTACAAAATCCAACTCGTGCAAGAATTGAAGCCAAACGATCATCAAGTAAGGCGTAGATTCGTCGAATGGGCCCAAAACGAGATTACCGTTGTTCCCGATTTTCATAAGCGAATATTGTTTACCGATGAAGCGCACTTCTGGTTGAATGGCTACGTCAACAAACAAAACTGCCGCATTTGGAGCGAAGCTAATCCTCAAGTGTATGTCGAAACACAGTTACATCCAGAAAAACTGACTGTTTGGTGCGCTTTATGGGCTGATGGAATCATTGGTCCGTACTTCTTCAAAAACGATGATGGCCAGAACGTTACAGTCAATGGTGATCGGTATAGAGCTATGATTACTTCATTCTTTCATTCCTGAATTGAATAAGCATGATGTCCAGGAGATATGGATTCAACAAGACGGCGCAACATGTCACACAGCTCGTGCCACAATCGATTTATTGAAAGACACGTTTGGTGAACGACTAATTTCACGTTTTGGACCTGTGAATTGGCCTCCAAGATCTTGTGATTTAACACCGCTAGACTACTTTCTGTGGGGCTATATAAAGTCATTGGTCTATGCGGATAAGCCTCAAACGCTTGCCCATTTGAAAGACAACATTCGCCGTGTTATTGCCGATATACGGCCACAAATGTTGGAAAAAGTCATCGAAAATTGGTCGTCCAGATTGGACTACATCCGCGCCAGACGTGGCGGTCATATGCCAGAAATCATATTTAAAATATAATGTCACAAGATTATCTTTGGAATAAATAAAATTCATGTCAATCGAATAATCCATCGTTGGTTTATTGCAATTTAAAGTTCTATATATCGAAAAAAAAAACACCCTTACTTATACTGAACATATTCATTCACATATTGCTAAAATGACCGTTTTGCTCTGGGGTCTGTAAGAAATCTGCAGTTGCATATTAAAAGTGAAATGACAGTTGTGAATTTATACTACTTTTTTCGTGTACACAAACGGGAATGTATTTTTATATGTTGGCGCATGCTTTGGCTTAAAGCCAAAAAGTGTAGTCCGTAAAAATATATTCTGGTTTGTTTTGGTTGATTTGCTTCGTGTCGCTTACATTCCACAGCATCATATATGCATTTAATATAAATAATCCGGTCAAATTAGACATCAAAATACTAACCACATAACAAAAATTCCTACAGATCTTGGGTACACCTGCAGAATTAAAGTGCGAAAAATCGCCGTCTTTCCCTTTTTGAAAATTTCAGTTCTTTATGAGATGAGATTTATCAAGATGCCATTCCAGGCAAAATTGCTTCACTTCTTTCCAAAAAAATGCCATCGTCAAAGATTACAAGAAAATGTATAATATCTACCACTCTTAATTTAAAAAATGACCAACAGTAAATGGTTACAAACGATAATATGATTGTGACAAATGATAAGATCTTGAAAATCGGATAAAAAATAAAAAGGTTATAAAACATCGAATTTTATGTCGGCGAGTATATTAAAATAAAGACTCTAGTGACAACGTACCAAAAGACCTTGTGCCTACTTATTATGTATATTTTTAAATATTTCGAGATGTTTACTTTATTGGTAAAGTCTATTTTTGACAAAAGGTGGACTCCAGTTATCACGTCATTTACAAACGACTGAATAGGAAAAATCGCTACCTCTGCCTACTGTGGTTTAATTTAATATTCCGGAATTTTGTAACCAAAGAACTGCAAATTTCTATATGGCTATTTGATTTTTGGTCACAGAACCCAAATATTAGGCTATCAATATAAATATATAAATAAGTAATTTTGGATAAAGTTAACAACGTTCTTAGTCATTTATTAAAAAACTGTTTCAAATATGGAATTTTTCCAGATCAATTAAAAACAGCTGTAATGAAGCCATTACAAGGGTGACCCGGAAAAAATGGATAATTAAAGACCAATCAGGCTTCTTTCTGGTTTTTCAGAAATATTTTAAGTAGCAGTATGTGGTAAATTGGTGGATTTCCTCATTGACTGTAACTTGTTGAGAGACCATCAGCAGGAATATACGTCTGGCAAATCAACTGAAACTGCACTTTTTAAGTTTACTAAAACAATTCTAAAATATATCGAAAATGACGGTATGTCACTTGGCCCTATTTTTGGATTTGTCAAAAGCCGATGACTGCATCGACAGAGATCTACTCCTTAAAAAATTAAAATTGTATGGTGTCCGAGGATGAGTGCTCCAACTGTTTAGATCATATTTGAAAAAATGGACGTCCTCACCACTTACTCAGATTCTGAACAATGGTAGTAGGTTGTTTGGAAAAGCCGACAATTGGTTTAAAGAAAACAAATTTATTTTAAATAAAGATAAGTCAAACGCTATTTTGTTTCAAACAAAACAGTCTAAATTGCATAACCTACTTCGATGGTGTAAAGTTTTTAGGAGTAAATATAGATGAATTTGTGGACTGGAATGGGCATATTGATAGTTTAATAAAACGATTAAATTCTATTTGTTATGAAATTAGAGGAGTTGACAAAAATGTTATATTATGCCAATTTCCTGTCAATTATAAAATATGGCATTATTTTTTGATGAAGTGTGGAGATAGTTGTCGAGGATTGTTTTAGATGGAAGGTTTAATGACAGTATACGGTATCTATATTTATGAGTCCCTCGTTCTCTTTTTTAAAAACCGGGAATATTTCGACCGTATCATCCCGTACGTACAACGCTAGAACGCGAAATGTAAATTACCCAATACATAGATTAACTCTAAATGAGAAGAGTCTATATATATATATATATATATATATATATATATATATATATATATATATATATATATATATATATATATATATATATATATATATATATATATATATATATATATATATATATATATATATATATATATATATATATATATATATATATATATA